CCCTCCCCCGTGCCCTCCGCCGAGCCCCCTCGTCCCGCTCCCGGGGGTGGGGGGGTGCCCCCCGTCCCGCTCCCCGGGGGATTGGGGGGCGGAGGGGGAGGCGCGGCGAAGCACCCCCCGCGCTCTCTTTCCGCGCTGCTTCCACGCGGGTATGGTCGGGGGTTCCCCCTGCCCTTAATTAAAGCAAAAATCACCCAAAATGTTTTAAAGTCGCTGGTGGGAGACGGAGGGGAGACACGCTCAGCGAACAGATGGGAGGAATAAGGCGCGGTGACTCCATACGTAAAATGGCCACGGAGGCGGTGAAAAATGAAACTAAAAAACAACTGTTTTCTATTTACAAATTTAAATAAACAGAACAGCCTTCCCCGCGGTGTTTGCCTAAGTGCGGCAGCGTTGCTGCTGTGTAGGTCATGAAAAGGTTGGTGCATAGTTTAAAACTTCCCATTCTGTTAATTTCTTAAAGAACAGTCGTTCATAGTCTGAGCACAAAAGCTCATGATTTAATGAGGAACAGAAACAAAATCTCTGATTGTTGGTGTTTCAAACTTCATTGGAGTCCTCTGGCAACCACAAGTTGATCCTCTGCAGCTTCAATACCCTTTAGCCCTCCATATAAGAGTACATGCTGAATAGAGGACAATGCCTGGTTGTTATGTTTATTTACCCTTCCTACAAGCTGGGTTAACCTCTTCAAAACAGCTTTACTAAGCCCGTTAACCACACGGCCCACATGACCTGTAGCCGTATCCCTAATGTGATGTAAATCTGACTCGAGACCATATGCACGAGTTCTGCTGCATTGTGTCTCCGCAAACTACAAGTTTATTGCCGTCCAACCCTTCCCGGGCTGGACGCTTCCAGGAGGAAACGCTCTGAATAGCGACCGCTCGAAAAAAAGAGGAGAAAGTCAAGAGTCCCGCTTTGTCCCAGCAATATTTTTAATGGCCCTTGCAGAAGGAGGGGGAGGGGGGGAACGCGAAGCCCGCACAGGGTAATGATTTTCATCGCGATTATTTCAACCGGTGCGTAATTACTCGAGGCTTTGCACTTTCTGACGGGAGCTCTGCGCCGGAGCGGGAAGGAGCGTAGATACAAGCAGAAGCGATTGGCCCGGTTTTCATCCTGTAGCTCCTGTAACAGAGCTCGTAGCTGATGTTCTGCCTTCCTCCTTCCGTGAAGTCGTAATCCCGCATCTGCAGTAATCATCGTGATGTCACGCAGTCGGTGATGTCACTCCGTTGCGGGCTACGAGTAGTACGCGGGCTGCGCAGGAGCCAGCAGTGAATCAGGAGTAGTTTTAGTAATTAGCAATTCTGGCAAGCAAACTATGACAGATCTGCAAAACGGAAATGAATTTCTGCTTAAGCTTGACATCTATCTTTTTCCCCCCCCCCCCCCCCAGTATTATAGTCATCTTTTAAAACAGCTCCTGGGGCCCCATGGCGAGAGCTTCATTTACCAGCTCATTTTTTCTTGATGGCTGTGGCAAGCGTAACAATGTTCTGCGCCTGCTTCAGTAATGGCATGTCGATCATGCTCCCGCGGAAAGTGAACGCTCCCTGGAAAAGAGAGAAGATAAACTTCCTGAGAGAGAGGACCTCGGGAAACCGTCGTTTCCTTGGCTTTTTCTTCCAAAACATATCTGTTTGCCAAGAAATGTCAACTCCCACAGGAATCCTGAACGCCTTTTAGGAGACAAACTAACCGAGACGGGGCAAACGCATTTAAAGAGCTGCGGCGGGCGCCGAGTGCCCTGAAGAGGGGCCAAAAAGAGAGCGAGAAAGAGAAGCCCAGCCCGCAGCCTCGCCTGCTTCAGCCTCTCCAGCTCATGGCAGGCTGTGAGCCCCTCCGTCACGGCTCCGGCGCTAACGATAGGCTGGGCCTGTGCTTAGGGCCAGGGGCTGAGGTGAAAACTGAAAAAACCAAGGGGCTGGTGCGATGGTATTGCCCAAATCGGCTCTGGAGCCGAGGGGAAGAGCACCTGAGCGCTGCACGCGGGGAATTTCCCCGAGCGGACGCAGAACTTGCCGGCGTGCCTCAGCGGTGGCGATCTGGGAGCCGGGGCCGGTTTCATAAGTCTCTTTGTATTTAGGGATTTTGCGTTGGTACCGTGGTGGTAAGTTTAAAATAATTAACTATGAATCGCTCTTAAACAGACAACACGTTTTAAATAGGGCCAAACTGGACTTGTTCCTTTGGATGCTTTAATCCACACCTGCGTTGCTGAGGTAGGATTTTGAAGGTAAAACACTGTGCATGAAGACACGCCAAAGTTCAGCAGACCAAAAAAAAAACACCACCCACTTATTTGTAATTCTGACAGTACTTTGACATATTCTTGAGAAAAACCAAATACAAAGATACGGTCCCTTCCCCGAAGAATTCAGAATGGAGGGCCTGGCCCCAGCGTTGTGCAGGGTGTCTCTGTGAAGCACTGCGCACCCTTTCAATGTCCTGCTGCAATCGATAGGGGATCACAGGCTGGCCTCAGGTTTGGCAGCGAGCGAGGCTAACCGAGAACAGGGTACGAACGATAGCGGCCTGTGTGCCTGTGCAGGCGCAGGGGCAGAAACGCAGAGGAAAGGAAGCCATTTATTGTTTTCTGGTTTTCATTTAAGGCTTGGTAATCATTAAATAGTGGACTCTAATAAGTAAAGTGAAAATAGAACTCATTTACAAAAATGGTTAGGAAATGTGTTGCTCCAGTGACATACCTGGCTTGACTGAAGCGGTATTAATTAAATACTAAATCACATTCTAGAACAGTTAAGAAAAAAAATCCACCTTAAGCAGTAATCTAATACAAATCAATATTGTTGCATGTAAGAACAGGCTGTGTTAAAGCCATTAAAAACCCAATAGTTACAACTATCATTTTATTCGAAGTAGGATTTCCTACTGTATCTTGCAGTATTTTAGGTGGGTTTCGAGAATAATGGGACTGACAGATACTCAATGGTAGATGCTTCAAATCAAATTTACAGAGCAACTGATCAACCCTACATTACCCCAACAACAACATTAATATTATTATTAGTACTATTGTTATTATCAATAATAATACACCACTTTTTATCTTAGCTACATCTCAGCCACTTTCACTTATCCTTTTAAACCTTTACAGAAAATGCAGCCTCAAACTATTCCATTTATTAACTGTTGTGAAAATAAATTGGGAACTAAAGAAACGTTTTATGACATACGACTTCTTCGGAATAATTCAGGTCTACGCAGTGACCTCAGACTGCAAGATACATTTTTTTTCCCCTGTAAGAAAAACACATTTTAATTGTGCCTATTTTTCTACAGGCATTCAGTCAAATAAGAGTTTAAAAGAGAAATCTGCCTGTGGGATGACAGTGATAAGTAGAGATAGGTTAAGGTCTGGAATTCTCCTTCCTAGTTCTGTGAAATGGCTGACTGAGGAGCACAGTCACCCTAAGCAGCTGCAATGGTTTGCAGAAAGAGCTGGGCGCCTGGCAATGGCAGTTCTGATCTCTGGTGGTCCAGATCACGGTCGGGAGGGTCGCGTCCCTCCCACTGACTGTGCGCAGGATGCTCTGGAGCCAGGTACCGCTGCAGGTGCCCAAGTCGGAGCATGATGAAGCTGGGTCAAAATGTCTTTTTTGAAAGCAGGGGTTAATTAAGCAGCATGCCTATGGTCTCTTAATTGAAATAACATGTTTAGAAAGGAAACCAGGATAATAGTGTGTGTGTGGACACATGAACACTGAACCACTTGAGATCTGCCATACGTTCTCTTCTTGTCAGCGTGCAGCTGTGGTTTGGGTTGCTAGGAATGTGAATTCTTGAAGGATAAAAATGCTTTTTTTTTTCCTAACAGCAAAGAGTAACACGAAGAAGTTGGCTTCTCTGCCTGTTCACTCTGAGGCTTATTTTCTCCCTGCTAATTTGCAGCGTTGAGCTGAAGTCCAGAAAAAGAAACTGATTTTAATGCCATTGAATATACTCTATTCACTGCCTCTCTTTCCACCCACAGGTTTCAACAGATAGGAAATACCAGTAATTATAGCTTTGTCCCCATGCTCTCTTTTCCAATTCTGCTAGATGAAATTTGCCTTCAGCATTCTTTTGATTTTCTCTCGCATGAATATAAAGAAAACAAGACTTTCTATAAACACCATTTGCTTTGATAGCGTTAATCTGGGGATTAATTTAGTCATAGATCTAAATTTTCTTTTTGGCTAATTTTCTCAATAATCTCACGCTTCCAGCCTGTACTTAGACTTCCAGTAGTTCAGCTGCGGGACTGAGGGTCTGTTCTTCAGGGAGCTCGCAGGGCGAGCGGGAGCGACGGCGGGCGCGTGCTGCGAGGCTGGGGCTTGCGTCCGTTGCGTTC